CATTGGCAGTGAGCACGGCAGGGAGGAAGAACCCAGTGCTACAGCCAATGTAAGTGTGCTGTAAAGTCCATGGCGCTGGCCCTGGGTGTAAAGCTGTGTTGTGGCCTGTGCTGCCACATTCCGTGCACTTTACACTGACCTTACAGTCGTTGGCAAGGTGGGAGACTGATGACCAGCACTTGTAGCAGATGTTGTTCGCTTTCAGGGAAGCTTTGGGATCTTCTATGGACTTCTCCTTGAAGGCTCTGCATTTTAGGAGAGGATGTGGCTTCTGGTGTAGAGGATATTGATTACCAGGATCTCTGATCTCTATGTAAGAGGAGCTGGCAGACCTGTGAAGGGAATCTGGAGCAATCACATTAGTTTTGTGGACTGCTACTAGAGACTTACGAGGATTACGTTCTGAAGGAGCAGCACACAACAATGTGAAGTCAAAGCTAGGATCATTTCTTGTTTTAGCTTGTTGGCACACAAAATCCAGAAAAACAAAAAGGGGGGGAATGGAACATTGTGCTCTCTTTTATATTTGGAGCCATATCTGAACCACAGCTCTTGTAAATTATAAGGTAATTTTTGTACAATGGGGTTGACACCTCTGGATGTGTCAAGGTTTGCAAGTCCTTGCAAATCCCCTTCCAACTTAGCTACTTGAAATTCCATTAGTAAGTCGCTAAGTGCTAGGCAGTCTGGGAAACCAATAGAGTTTTTCGAACAATGCATTCTCCACTGCTTCTACTGAGCCAAAGCACTCATCAAGTCTGTCCCAGATTGTTTTAAGGCCTGTTTCAGGGTAGTTTATATTTATTGCCCTGATTCACTTGTCATGTTCAGCAGATTCACTCCCAAGCCATTTAATTCTTAGATCTATCTCCTCAGTATACGACCGATCTAAGCTCTGATGGCATTTTGGAAGAACAATTGCCAAGGTCTATAACTCTCGGGACTATCATCAAACCTTTCAAGTCCTTGTGTGACTAGTTCACATCTTGCAAGAACTTGGCAAGGCCGATTGTGCATTGCTGTGGTAAAAAAGTGTTGAGTAGTCATACCTTGGGAGTCTCCGGTTTCAGCTAACTTTTGTTAAGACCGATAAGTGAAATTACTCTGAATCACAGAACAGACATAAAGGACAATTTTGCTTTTTTTTAGATCCTAACATGTTAGAAATAAACCATTAATAAGATTATTGAACATTTACAAACACACAAATATTGAATTAGAAATCTGAAGAAGGAACTAAAATTTTAGAAAATGTTTCCCAAAAGATGAAAATCCTCAATATCAGTTATAATGCTCACAATTTTTGAAATGGGAATCGGCCCACCTGGGAAAAGAAAAATATAGAAAGTAATCTGTATAATCAAAGATAATGTCATATGATGTTCACAATTTGTTATGCAGATTAAGAAGAAAAGAAATAGAGATCCAGTTACAATGTATACTTTTAATTTCTGTTTATTGGTGGAAGAAATAGTTGTTACCAATTCTTAATGGCCTCCTGTGGCTAAATCAACATCAGTATAGTTCAAAAATATGAATAAAAGAACATTAGATTCTATTCATAATAGTAAACCAAGAGAGTATTATTTATTTAATATATCAACACTACATCACCACTTTACCTTTCAGGTAAACATAATGCTGACATAAAGCTGTGTAGAGGAAGAGGAGAAGGCAAAAGTGAAAATTGGTTCATTTTAATTCTAAAAAAGCCATAATATGCTTTATTTTTTGCTTTGGTATGATGCCAAATAAGGTAGGTTTAGCCATTATATAGTTTCCAAGGTGCTGCCTAGGCTCATGTCATCATAGACGGAGTATTTCATCTAACTAGTTAAAGCAAGAATCTTTCTTACCAAAATCTCAATTTTTTATAAAACAGTGTAATGTGCAAAAAAAGAATTGAAGTGGGAAGAACAAGAAGTTTTGCACAACATCCACTCAAAACAGGTACTTTTTTTCAACCTTAATCTCTGACCCTATACTGAAAATAAGATTCATTAGTAATTAGCTTAGATACGTTGCCTATATCAATTTTAATACACTCTATGTCTAATTATAATCTTCTCCTGGTTTTCCTACATTCCACTTTTCCAATAATGTCTTTTTTATATCTAGGGATTTCATGGATTGATTAGAAAATTTATCATTAAAATCTTCTTCACTGTACAGTTGTAAGGCTTCTCTTTGTGTTTCAGGACTCATACAAGGTTTGTAAAAAGCTGGCGTTATACAGAAAGATCGTATCTATTTTTCCAGAGCTGGGCTGAAGCAAGAAGTCATTGGTAAAAAGGCATAGGGCTTCCAGCTGGACAAATTAGATTGTGTCAGGACATTAAACCTAGATATTTTAAATTATTATTTCTTCCAGCAAATAGCAAACTCCCAAAGAACTAAAGTGTGAAACAAAATGCTGCACATCTATGTCTCTAATGACTCTAATAACAATTTAAGAATCTGAATATTAATGGATTTCCTTGTAAAATAGAATTTTAAAAAAGTTTTTGTGTCCTAATTTTGTATGTGCTAAATTGATGTTCCTCCTTGAGGTTTTCTGTTAATTTCAATATCAAATGAATCTTGGTGACTTGAGGATGGTGCCTGTAGAAAATGGTCCCTATTGCATGCTGAAGCAAATCAGCTTAAAAATAATTAATTTTCCTTTTTTTATTTTGTAAACGAGTGTAGAATTTTCTCTGAATATCCTAACTGATGTTACAAAAAGTGTCAACACCACCGCCAACCCTTAAATAAACAGATGATTATCATTATCTTTATTATCATTATTCCTGCTGCTGCTGCTGCTGGCCGCCTCTTTCTCCCCCCACGCAACTCCAGTGATCTGTAATGATTGGTGCTCTGCAAGTCCCTGACCTTTTAAGGGCTGCCAACCGGTCAATCTAAAGTGACAAGTTGAGGACTTTCGTAACAGATATCCTCACAAACCAATCGTCTCTTGGTTCACCTCTCCTGGAAAGACTCAAGAGCCAATGAACGGGCAGGGGAAGAACTAGGGACCAGCTGAACTTAGCAGAAGTGGAGATGCCCTGGCGATTCTCTCTGCTTGCCAAGCTGCTGCAGGGTCGCTAACAGACTGGGGTTTTTTCTTTGCGTACACTGGACGCTGCAGCCACGCTGGTTCTGGCGCCGAGTCTCTAGTGCTGTTGCCAAAATGGTGATTAAAGTGTTTGTGGCAACGTCCTCAGGGTCGACGGCGGTAAGAATATCTGTGTGATTTATGCTTCTCCGCAGAAGTCTTCGGAAGCTAGTTGCTTGCTTTCTCGCAGTTTAAGAAGGGGGTGTGTTGCTGCTGTGCAGTCTGAGCCCATGACAAAAAAAAATGTGCCCCCCCAACTCCTCTCTCTCTCTCTCTCTCTCTCTGCTTCCCCCTCCCCCTCCCTCCTTACTCTTTGAAATTCTCCAAGCGTGCAGCCTTGTTAGTCCGTTGTTGCAACTGAAGTTAATGCCCACCGCGTCGGAAAAATATTGTCTTCATACCATGCCACAAATTAGTCGATTCACCATGTCGCAAAAATACAAATTGTTTATTTTAGACAGATTGAAAATGCACAACATGTTAGAGTTTTATTTTCAACAACCTTGCTAAGGCCTGCTTAAAGTATGCTCGTTTTGTGTTTGGAGGAGAATAAGTTTCGATTGATTACATTAGTGCAGAAAACACTTTCTCTTGGTAGAAATAGACAGTGGATATATTAAAGGGTTCCTTTCTACAGCTGTACACATTATCTCCGCTTTCTTTTCAGGTTATTTTAAGCTTTCCTATCTCAATATCCTATATCTTAATGGTGATACTCTGTTTTCAGAACCATTACGTTTGCTGAGGTGAAGAAAGAGTAGGCAAAGGGAAGGTGGGAACTGGGAACGAAGAGTTTCCTTTTATATCCAGTTCCCACATGAGCTCAAATTGCAGTCTTGGCTGAGCAATCAGCCACAGTGACATATCTAAACAAACTGGCTGCAGTCCTACACAACTGATTTCATTGCTTGCTGGCTTTCATGAAGACAACCTCAAGAAGCTTCCAGAGAAGAATGGTTGGCAAGCCTTGATGAAAGAAGTTTGGCTGGTGTTTTTTTCTAGGCTGAGGTCCACCAAACAAATAATGGCAATAGCCTGTGAGAAAGTTGTCTATATTTCATGGTGTCTTAGAAATATAGAATTTTAACAGGATAATTGGTATGGAACAATGGGGGTTTCAATGGAAAGTAAAAGTTACTTACAATGAACACCATAGAAGCTAAAAAGCCTTTGATCTGCCTCCCCTCCTTTCGATCTGAAGTCAGAGAAACCCCTCTCCACTAATAAAATAGAATTCCTTAAAGGCAATAGAATGCTGACAGGCAGCCCTGGAATCCAACAACATTGAAAAAGCATGGGAGTTTTAACATCTGTGCCTATGCTCTTCCACCTCTGTCTAGCCAGGGAGATCCCTGCTGATAAAGAAGGTAACAGAATATTTGCTCTCACCATAAAACTATTTCCTGCTTTCTCTTGGTCATAAAAACATCTCACTCACACCAAAGGCTAAAAATTGTATATAAACCTTGCTAATTTATTGGTGTGTGGTGAACTGTCCCAGAAAAAAAAAGTTTTGTACTGTTTCTGACCCAAATAAAATAAGAACTTTCTTCCCAAGCAGCTGCCCTTTGCGTGTTTTTTTTCTCCCTTGGAGAAAGGATCTCTGGGAGTTTCTTGCAACAATTGGCACCTTTGAGATGGGATTCTGGGATGACTTGACCCACAGACCTGGCCCGGGTAAGCTTTTCACTACTGCCAGCAACAACAGACCATTTTGTCTGTAGATGAGCTTCCCCAACTATGACTGTTCGGTAAGATGTAGTAAAGGGGGTCTTGAGTTGAGTTCTCCTTGGAAAGGTGGCAAATGCCACCAGATAGTTGTGCATTATGCTCAGGGGTGTAAGTATATGTGAAGGGGAAATCCCCTTTTCCTCCTCTGCAGTAGAATCTTGTCCCTTTTGTGCTATTCTTAACAGCATCCAGCCTCTTACTAGCCCAAAAAACTGTGACCAATGGAATCTGGAAAGCAAGGGCTTTGGGCAAAAATACAAGCACTGCTGCTGGAAGAAAAGGACTGTGGGTGTGTGTGAGAGAGAGAGAGAGAACTTGCACCTGGACAACTGCCTCCTGATCCCTGAATGGTCCCTGAGAGGTCCCTTACTCTAGCCAAACTAGAGTCCTTTTAGACTTAAGGTGTGGAAGCAGTGAGTGGGTTCTATAGATAAAAATAGAGGGCTGCTTGTGTGTGTGTCCATGTCCCTGGAGTGCATGTGTGCACTCCAAACTGACCTGCAACCATGGTTGGATAGTATGAGGAACACCATATCAAGAGTTCTGCCAGGATCCCCATAGGGGAGGTTGCTACAAGCATGACAAAAATTACCTGAGCAAAGTGCATGTAAACAATTGTGTATTGAATAGACCTGGTTCAGAGATGCAGCAGTCAGTCAGATATGGCAAAATAAAGGTACTTTCAAAAGAAAGAAAAGACAACTCTGATCTTTTCCCACATCTGTGTATTTTGCAGTAATTGAGCAATGGATATGTTTATTGAGGGATTTTTTGCTTTTGAAAATAAAGTTAATGAACAAAAATGGGTTACTTATATAGCTGATTGTGGAATTGCTAAGCTTTCTTTACAATACCTTTGAAAAGGAACAAAACTCTGATCTAAGATGAAATTGACTAGAGCTCTTTTTTCTGTGTATGTATGTGTATTGAAGTATTTGTGTGTCCTTGAGGTGAAAGAATAATGAAAATGCTGCAGGGAAACTGATGAAGCTTTTACACAGCTGTCAGATATCTTTAATCACCAGAGACAAGTTTTTAAAATTCTGTTAGGAAAATGTTAAAATAAGCCATATTATATAATTTTCACTCTTTTTTTGTCTGGCTAATAAAACAGGGTGAAGAGAGGTAAGCTCCCTTTTCTCTCTGTGCTTTTAAAAACAGCCCAAATCTGTCAGGAGGAAATATTCTAAATTCATTTAAAAGTAAATGTTTATTTTGGATTGTATGTTTACTTTAGCTAAGTGTATTGTGGGTGGATTTCATCTGTAAATCATGAGATATGCCTGTCTACAGATGCCGACTTATTTCTGTCTTCAAGTCTGTTTGTGCATTTCTTCTCTTGTTAGCTCATTTCAGTATACAAGCAGGAAAATAACTTTCCCAATATCTTTAAGCTTTGGACTTCCCAAATTTTTCCTGCAAACTATTCACCCCACCCCATTTCTCCATCTCTTCCCAGTTTCCATTCTTCATCTCCTACCAATTGCTCTACAAATTCCTATTGAGCTAAAATGATAATAGAAACTGAATGATTTCCCCATGGTAGCTAAAGGAACAACTTTGTCGCATTTAAATTAGAAAAAAAATAGTGAATTATAAAAGAGTGAGAAAACTTGATGTTTGCAATAAAAAGACTAAATTCTTTCAATAACAAAGGATTGTCTTTCAAATTCAGTTTCTGCATGCTCTAGGAGAGGAGAAGTTTGGGCATTTTCAGTTGCTTTATAAGCCATCTTCCCTGTAAGGTCTTGAGCCTAATAAATTTTGTCTCAAAGGGTCTCTTGTGTTCTAAGCGATTGGGAGTAGAGAGCTGAGGCATTCCTTTCAATGTGCATTCTCCTGTGCTTGCTTATTTTCACCTGCAGATTATCCCCGAACTGAAGTAAACGGGATGGGAAAGTGAGGAAAGGGCTACAGACACACTCCCCCTTCTTCTTTCCCAGCCTCCTTCTATGTTGAGTTCTGGAACGTGAGGCTGGTTGGGATCATATCCTCCTGATACTCTGTAGTAGGCAATTTCTTAATCATTTTTTGTTAAGGTATGCTTGATTTTTAAAAGTATATGCTTTCTTTGTGGGAAAGATGATTGATAGTTATGTAAATGGGATATTGATAGGAAATGGACAGATTGTATAGTGTGTAATGTGTGTATGTATCAGGATCTGAGTGATTTCTCTCTTTTGCATTCTGGTTCTAGCCAAAGGATCAGAGATTTTAAGTTTGGCATGCTTCTGCTTAATATAATTTAAGATCTAATAAAGTATATGCATTTGGAACTCCTTGCTACTACAAAAAGGGGTGTCAAATTATTATTAAGTGTGAGTACTAAATCTGTTGTCCTTTTCCTTGGAGCAAAGGGAAAGAAGGCAAAGTGTTTTCTTTTTTTAACAGAGCTAGTTTAGTGTAGTTGTTAAGGCACTGAACTGGAAAGTAAAGGAGATTGTGAGTTTAGGTCCTGCCGTGGCTATGTGGGCCAGCTGGATGACTTTGGGTCAGTCATTCTCTCTCAGCCCTAGAGAAGAGGCACTGGCAAGCCACTTCAGAAAGAGTTGCCAGGAAGATGGATTCAGCACATAAGTTTGATTCCCCCCCCCGCCCCCCCTCCCCCCCAGGAAATGGTTATGTAAAAGTTCCTTTAATCTTCATAAGACAAGGGGGTTGTATTAGTATTTTTTCCTGGCAAACATGATGGGACTAGGGAAAGGGGGACCGGGTGGAGGGGAGCCGATGGTCATTTCACTCCACAGCTACCTATTCCTACCTGCTGTGATTTACATTCCTTTGAAATGCCTAACTCTGACTTGTGTCTTTCATCTTCTGTGTGCTTTACCTTTAAAACCCTAGATGGGTCATGAGAACAAGCTTATTGGATTTACTCCCTGTTCCTTAACAAGGCATCTGATAAGCGTGAAAGAGGGGAGAGGGGCGAAAAACCTAAAATTTGGAACATTTGGAAAGGTATAGTCAATCTGAAACAAGATGTTCTTTCTTTCATTTCTTCAACTTTTGGCTCTGGAAGCAATCCATATGCTTAAGGGATATATTCTTATGTCTATTCTCTCAGCTGTGCAAGATCTGGTCCTAGTTAATTAGTAAGGAAATGGGAAAGTATAGATATCCTTTGCAGCTGAAAGGGGTGTGAATGTGGTAGTCAATCCAGTTTTTCCTCAAGATTGTTTGAATCTATTTTGCAATCATGTTCATCTCCTCTGATTTATTGCCTCTAAAAATCCATCTAGCAACCTCAGCATAAGCAATGGACCCTCCCCATAAAAGAACAAAGGTGACCAACTGAGAGTTATCCATCCTCTGTGTTGCAGATACTCTGGTTACTTTACCAACAGGAAAAATAGAAGTGTGGACTCATCAATTTCCCAAAACGTTTTTTT